CCGCCAGGTCACACAGGGATAACCTGAGGGAAACACAGTGATATTCACATCACTTACAGGGTTTGTCCTGTCCTGCCATATAAGGCTTACAGTTCAGACAGCCTGCAGTCATTTTCCCAGCTTCCCCACAAGGGAAGAATGGTCTGTTCCCCAACAGACCATTCTTCTGGGGTGCCTGGGCTGTTGATGGATGGAAGGGCCTTCCCTAAGTGTAGGTGTAACAGCAAAATGAACTTTGAAGTGTCAACTTCAAAAATCCTTTGCCAGTCCTCAGAAAAGCCACTTTCTAGGAACAGGCACCAGCTGCACTCAAATCAGCCCTGCTGCATGGGTAAGGATACTCACATTTACTTTTCCCCAAAAAGCCTGAGAACTACCTCAAATTGTACCTTGCAGTACACCCTCAAACTCCTGTCAGTTCCAAGACTTTACATTGGGAGCATTTATTCCTTCCAAGTACTTTCAACACCATCAAGATACTTCCCATATCCCAGGCCCTCAACCAAAGAGACAGGAAAGTTGAGATTATACCCAAATCCTAAAAAACATGAAACTTACTCGCTGATTTTTGGAACAACTTCACTGCCACCTCTTTGCAAGTGCAGAATCCGAATGGAGAACACACTGTGACTGTAAAGAAACACGCAGATATTAAAAAAAAAAATTAAAAAGCAAACTTTAAAAGCCCCTCAGGATTGTATTTCTGCCTAAATAATCCCTTCAGACCTGCGACTGGAGTTCTGGTTCATCTGAGTGCTTGCAAAACTCTGGTTTTTGCGACCCAGTTTCAGGAGCTTCCAGGCCTCATCAGCATCCCGGACATTGATCCAGTTCAGATCTGGAAAACAAGCATGCATTGAGCACAGCAGTTGGGAGACTGGCAGAAAACTTATCTCAGCCCCAACTTCACCATTGCATATCCTTGACATCAACAAATTTGACAATCCTGTAATCCTCACATCAAAGTTCTCTGTAGGACTCTCCAGCACATCACTGCTAAACCACACACCCACTCTATCCTAAAGCCTCCCTAGCAGGCCCCTAAACCTCTCTTGCAGGTAAATCTACCTTTCACATAGGGGTTGCCAGTCTGGTCCTCGCAGAGCCGCAGTGTTTGCCGCTTGCGGTTCTGCCCAGGTAGAGCTGGTTCTAACAAATCATAGATTAACTCGTTGTAGATCTCAAAGAAGGAGACCCAGATGGAGAACTGCACATCTCCTGTGCTGGTGAGTGAAATGCGATCCAAGTCAGCCCAGCAAGGGCCCAATTCTGGGGGAAAAAAAGAGGAAAAAAAAAAAGAAGGAAAACAAATCATGACTGCAGCTTTTCATGGGTACAACCAGAATGGTTTAGCTCTAGAGTGAGATACTTTCTTCAGCAAGCAAAACCACCCTAGAAACAAATCCTTATATTTACCTCCTCCCAGTTGTATCTATTCTAATGCCCATCCCCAGTGAGACAGCCTAAAGTTTCCTTTAACAGTATCTGTGTAAGGACTTTCACATACTCAATTTTGACTCCAGAATTACAAGATATTTCAAGCATGAACTCTTTCCAGCATAACTGAAGTTTTAGTCATTGTTATCTCAATCACTCCATGCTTCTGGATATTTAAGTAGCTGGTAGTTCCTGGGTTTGATAGTCAGAGCACACGTGCTCAGTGCAGCCTGTCACTTTGGCATCCTGCTTCTCAGCAAGCCCCATCTCACAGCAATCAGCTGCTCAATAACCACATTCCTTGAATGAAGTGAGTAAGTGTCAAGTAATTTTTCATTTCACAAGGCTTGGTTATTACAGAGTGGTGAATTCTTTTGATATTGGCAAAATATAAGCACAAAGTTCTTCTGACATGACATCTTTCAGAGGGGAAAATCTGTGAGGCTACAGCAGCTTTCCTCCCTTACCCACAACACAGCATCCAAACAGCCATTACCCTTTTCTTCCCCCATTCTCCAGCAAAAAGAAGCAGGTAGTACACAACAGACTTGCAGAAATACCTTCTGTCTGGCTAAGGTCTGAACGGCTGGTGAGCTGGCTGGATGAAGACAGACCAGCAACCCCACTGTCAAAACTGCCACTGGTGGTGGCCTGGAGCTGAGATTCAGCACTGTGACTCCTCTTCAGTGGCGTTAGCAGCTCCTCCTTGAAGGAAACAACGAACAGGAGCATGCAGATAGTGTGATACCACCCGTTGCCTCTTCCTATTGAACTCCAGAGGCCCCATGCTTACCTCCCAGAGACCCCCCTGCAGCATCATCTGCTTCTTGGTCTCCTCCTGCCGCACCTGCCTGCTGTCCAGCCAGGTCACCTCGTTGGAGAGGACAGGCTTCAGGTCCATGGCCTGGTACAGCCGGTCCCCCACACTGTTGAAGATGGTTGCCAAGGAACGAGGCAGGATCCCCCCATCTTGGGTGGTGCCTGCAGCAAGAACAGCAGCAAAGCTGAGGATTCAGAGGCAGAAGACAGAAAACAACTCCTTCAACAGGCCCCACAACAGCTGGTGCTTTCCTTACCCTGAATGGTGTGAGTCTTCCCTGAATTGGTGATGCCATAGGTATAAACCAGACAGTTCTGCCCACTCAGCACATCCTTTACCACCTGCTTCATTGTCTCATCAAAGAACAACTTCTGCCCCACCTCTGGTCCAAAAATCTGCAAGCAAGACACAGGAAAAAGGGCTTCATGTAGATCTTTCCTATCCTTTGCTGGTGGTTGCTCAAGTCATATTACATGGTCCTTTAGTCCCTGCTCTGGCCATGAGCAAGACCCACCAGCAATTCCAGCTGAGCCCCCTACAAAAATAAACTGCTCAGTTGTTTAATAACATATCACTGTAACCCCTAGTCCGTTTAGAGCCTCATGAACAGGAGTTTGCCATTTGCTGCCAAAAAAGAATTGTCAGAAACAGCTTAGAAAGAAAAAAACTATTAAAACAGCAACAAAAACCTGAAGTAGAAGTGACTGCACAAGAGTGCAGAGTTCAGGCAGTGCCTTGGGGTCAGGATATGAATAAAACTGCTTTTCAAGCTGCAAGGCTGGTTTAAGCTCAAATCACTTCCAGATGTGTTGCTTGTCCCAGCCACCTACCCGGGTGAAGGAGAATCTGTGCACTGCATGTCCCACTCCTCGCTCCGTGCTCCGCATGGTGAAGGAATTCTTTGGAGCTTTTAGAACAAGGGTTTCTGAGTTCTCAATACAGACACAGCCCTAAAGAACACAAAATCCATCATTGCAGTGGCTTACAGGAGGATAAACAGCAAGAGACAACAGCATCTCCCACGAGCACACCGCCAGCTCAGACTCTGCTTCATTCAATGTCTCACCTGGTCTTCCCCCTTTTCCACTTCTGTAGATTTCAGAGGTCGAACTCTGAGGTAGACCTTTAATTTTCCATTATTGTCTTCAGCTACAGCCTGCAAGAATCAGCACAAGTTAAATATGGCAGCCAGAGAGGCAGCACACAACCCCCCACGGGAACACTTAACAGGAACCACAGTATGGAACACACATGTTGGCTATGCTGCTAGTGCTGAGGAACTTCTCTGGCCCCAAAATCACCAGCAATGCCAGAAGTTATCTCAGGCATTTCCAAACACACAAGCATTTTTTTTGTTTGATGTAGTGGATAAGACCAGGAAGCTGAAGGCCTGGCACCAAAACAAAGCATCACCCCAAGAGGCACCTGCTACCCACTGCTCTCCCCAATGCAGTATTTTGTTCCTGCCTTTCCTGAAAAGTCTCTGTTGTTTCTGCATCTCCTCACCTTTATGCAGAGAATAGCAGCTATGAGTGAAAACGCTGCCCTGTTTGTGATAGAAGAGCTCCAACCTCACCTGAGAGCCCTCCAGGTTTGGGGAGATGGCAGAGAACTCCTGCAGCAGGTCCTTGCGCACGTCAGCCCCAAACCCTGTTGCTGTGGACTCGAGCACAGGGGAGGCTGCAGCCTCATCGTCGGAAAACAGCCCTGGGGAGGCAAGTGCTTGTGCCATGGTGCCTCACACGGCTCCTAGGGAAAAAAAGGGCACAGGACAAGGTGATGTTACAGCAACCCACGCATGCAGCCCCCTGCCACATTCATCAGTCCCCACAAACACGGATCCCTACGTGGAACCCTCCCTACATACAAGGATGCTGCTTGCAAATGTGCACACGGGAAACCACACAGGAGCCCGGACACAGCCCGTACACATACAAACACTACTCCAGACCCAACCCCTGGACATACAGACACCATACAGGACCCCTTCGTGCACACCGACCACCTGTACACCCCTTTAACACACGACACCAAACAGATCTAACGCATACACCAACCACCACACAGGACGCTCCTAAACCCACACACCACAGCACAGCACAGCACAGCACAGCACCACGCGGGGTCTGCCCACACGCACAAGAAACCACAACCAGCGCCGGCCGCCCCTCTCGCAGCTCCAGTCCCGCTGCCCCTCACGCCACCCCTTCGCCGACGCTCGGGGTTTCAAACCTCGCCGCCCGCCCGCTCCACCAATGGGAGCACGGCACGCGCGCCCTGCGGCCAATCAGCTCCCGCCGTTGGGGCAGAGGGGGCGGGGCCAGGGCAACCGGCCGGCCTCGCGCGCGCGCACACGGAGAGGGGGGCGTGGTTGCGCCCCGCCGCCTCCCGGCGGGCTTTGCGCGCGGTGCCGCCTCTGCCGCCCTCAGGGCCGGGCGGGGAAGATGGCGGCGGGGCCGGGGAGTGAGTGCGAGACCGGGCGGGAGGCGCGGCGGGGAGCGAGCGGCGGTGGGGCTGGGGAGGAGAAGGGACAGGGGAATGGCCCAAGGAGAACGGAGCGGTTGCGAAGGACCCTCCAGGGAAGAACCAGCGGTAGCACGGGGAGGGGCGGGGCCAATGGGTTTGGGAAGGGCGGAGCCGAAAAGTCCGGGAGGGGCGGGGCCAGGCGTGGGAGCCGCGGGTTCGAGTCCCGGTGCTCCCGGGCGCTGCCCCCGCGCACTCCAGCCCTGTCCCGCAGAGCACAAGCTGCTGAGCGCCGGCCCCACCGAGCCCTGGTCCATCCGCGAGAAGCTCTGCCTGGCCTCCTCCGTCATGCGCAGCGGCGACCAGAACTGGTACGGGAGCAGGGAAGGCGGGCGGCATGTGCAGAGCACCGGGGCACGGGGCTGTCACGCCTCTGCCTCCGTTCAAAACAGAGGTGGGGTGTAAGAGGTGTTAAAGGTATACCTGGACAGGCATTGTGTTCCCTTCATAACTACTGTGTAAAAGTAGAGGTGTGTTAATTGAAATAAAGAGTAATGAGAGCTGGAGAGGATCTTTGGACGAGGACATGGAGTGTCAGGTCAAGGGGGATTGGCTTCAGACTGACAGAGGGAGGGTTATGTTGGAAATTAGGAAAAAAATTCTCTACTGTGAGGGGGGTGAGGCAGAGAAACAGTGGCTCCCCATTCCTGGAGGTGTCCAAGGCCAGGTTGGACAGGTCTTGGAGGAACTTGGAATAGTGGAAGATGTCCCTGCCTATGGCAGGAGATTGGAACAAGGTGATATTTAAGGTCCTTCCCAACCCGTGCTATAATTCTTTGTTCATAATTAGATGAGATTTGTTGTGGATAACAAAGATATTTTGTAACAGATTCCTGTGCACTGAACTTAGAGCTTTGTTTTCCTGTATTTTTCTCCTCACTAAAGTAAGGCTTTTGTAGAAATGTATTAATGTAACCAGATGCAAGAAACTTGATTTTCAAAGTGAAGGAGGGAATTAACTGTTTATTTAGAAGCAGGCAAATATTTCTGAGACTTGTACAACTCCTTGGTGAGTTTATTATGTTTAGCAGGGTTATTCAATGATATCAATAGAGGTTTTCATCTTTTCTCTGCATGTTGGTTGGGGAGAATGTAAGTTGATGGTGACTTGCCATTTCCCTCCCACAGGGTCTCAGTCAGCAGAGCAATCAAACCTTTTGCAGAGCCAGGACGCCCACCTGACTGGTTTTCCCAAAAGGTAAGACACTGGCATTTGAATCTTGGGCACCAAATCTCTGTGCAGTCAGAAATAGCATATTGAGGATGAATTAAGGATTAATTATTCCGTGCTTTATAAGTAAGTTCCATGCTTATAAGTAAGGCTAACTAAAGAGATTCTTCACCAGGCATGTGAAATTCCTTGCCTCGGGACTTTGTGGATGTCCATGTATTTTGGTGTGTTCTGCTGTTTGGGCAAGCAAACTGTCCTCTGACATCCTTTGTTTCTTCTCAGCACTGTGCATCTCAGTACTCGGAGCTCTTGGAGACCACGGAGACCCCTAAGTGAGTACAAAGTCTGACCCCACCACAACCTGCAGCAGCTGAGGGGGCACTCCTGGGTTCTTACAGCAAAGTCCTTGTCATTGTTAAATTACTTTCTCCCCCAAGAAACTCCTCCCAGAAGGAGCATTTCAGAATGGGAAAATTCAGGTGGAATAGCTGTTGTGGGACAGTGGGATCAGGGTTTGTCGGATGGGAAAGATAATAGTTATTTGGCTGGAATAAAACACTGCATGTTAGTCTTATTGATCAGAAGCTTTACACATAAATTTATCATTCAGTGTAGGGGTAGGAAAGAGAAGGATCGAGAAGGGAAATGTTTTGTATATGTCACTATTTTGCACTGGTTTCTTAGTTTTCTTATCAGTGTTACCATTACAGCTCTGTGATACCAGTTATTTACTGCTCCTAATTCCAGATTTTTTTGGGGGGCTTCATATGGTGTTAATTTAAAGATAGGATGTTTAAAAGTAATATTTGTGTGCAATCTATTTGTGAATGTTTGTTAATGATCTTCAGCACTAGAGTTGCAAAATCAAAGGGCTTAGTAGAGTTAGTGAAGAAAAAAACAGATGTTTCTTCTTGGGGAGAAAAAAATTTTCTCTTGAAGTAGAAGGATTATTATTTTTAGGAGGCTTGTATCTTTGATATGTTCCTGAAGACTTTAACACTGGGTGAATTAACAAAAATTTGCTGAAGAGGTTGTTTGAACATTGTGCTGTCCAATATAATTTAAGGGAATTGGAGGAAGCTGATTTTTTTTTTTTTTGCATGAGCATGTCACTAATGACAGAGAGCAGCCATTTATGAAAGAGGAACTGGGTTTTCTTATGGTTTGTGTCTGAGTTTTCTTTTATTCTGTAGAAGAAAACGTGGTGAGAAGGGAGAAGTTGTGGAAACCGTGGAAGATGTTATTGTGCGAAAACTGACGGCAGAGCGGGTTGAGGAGTTGAAGAAAATTATTAAAGAAACACAGGAAAAATACAGGTACATGACAGAGCTGTTAAAATATTGCACACCTGAGAGTCCTGTCCTGAAAAATAGTCCAAGTGGGGATGGTGACTGTGGTAAAAATGCTGCTTAAGGTGTCCAGTGATCAGAAAGTAAAAGGATTTTCTGATTACAGGCAACTCAAGAAGGATGCAGAGCTGATCCAGGCCGGACACATGGATAACAGACTGGAGGAGCTGTGCAATGAGATTATGATGTGGGTTATTTCATTATTTCTTCTGAGATTGTAGTTTCCTGACACTCTGTTTGTCCAGCATCTCTTGCTCCACGTAGTTTGGGTTAGGAGAAATGGGGCAGCTGGGCAGATGCTTTGGTCTCTCAGGGGGGATTTAGCTTGCACTAGGGGATACAAGCTGGTGTGGAACATCCTTTGGAGTTGCTCGGTAAAGAGCTTGGCCATGGCTTGCAGAACCATGTTTGCTGCCTCCATTTTGACA